TTTTTAATTTATCCCTTTTATTTTTGTATGGTATGATGTCACAATAATAGAGCATCTCCATAACTCGCTCATTTACAACTTGGATTAAAAATAAGACAAAACTAGGTGTAAAAAATTAATTTTTTAATAAAAATAAACTAATCTCTATTAATAAATTCTTGTTTTAAAATTTTTGTTGTGTCATTTATTTGGATGAGTTCATGTATGGGGCATAGTTGCCCTAATTTTGAACCCAATAAACACTTCTTGAAACTAAATAATACCAGGCACGCGTGGCGTTTCAATATTAAAGTTTAAAAATATCACATATATATATTTATTGATAATAATATTTTATTAAATTTTTGAAATTAAATTTTATGGTTTACTAATATATTTTATTAAAATTATTTATTAATAATTTATTATTAATTAATAAAATTATTGATGTTTGAAGGATTTTGTGTCCTAAGAGCTTTTGAGTGGCTTTTTAATGAGTTATTTAATTTATCTTCAGGTAATACAATTGAATATATGCTACACTATCACTTTATTGGTAACTATGAAAAGTGAGTTAATTGTAAATAATTCATTTTCCATAGTGCATAAACATTACTTAATTTCAGAGGATTCTGAAGTTTCTAGAGTTATAAAAATTTGAAAACAAAAGTATTGCTGATTACACCAAAAAATGCTTTATTGCACTAAAAATTTAATTGTTTTTCCCATAAGCCTTTGATTTATATTAAGACAAGTTGGGAAATATTTTTTTGATTTTACTTTAATTTAATTTTGTCAAGCTGTGTCAAAAAGAATAGTCAGTCGTTAGCGTAAAGTCAAACTGCTTTTAAATAATAAAATAAAATAAACTATAAATTTAGTCACCGGGATATAATTATTGTATGCAAATTTATATTCATAAATGTGTCTGTTTACCGTTGATATTTAATAAAAGAGTTAATTAAAATTTTGTCACAAAATTTTCATGAGATGTCGGCGGCGAGCGTTTTGTAGCGTTACTTAGAATAGGAAACTGCGCGTTTAGGGTGGAAAATTAAACAGTTGAAATCGGTCTAGCCGACAATAAAGCGTGGATGGAATTGTGTTTTTTATATTCCCTCTCTGCAGCACAAAGCAGGGATTTGGACATGAGTTCAATGGATGATATCAAGCGAGGTCCGATCCCTTCATGGGCGGCCATTGTCACTGTCGTGCCTTTTGTCAAGTCTCCTATAACATGTCCTTATACGGCGGCGGTGGATCAAAATCGCCATTTACAAGAGGAAGAAAAGTGCTCGGCTCTTGAGACTCTATTACAAGGTGCCGACGATTGCAGGCTAATCTTTTTGGCGAGGGCGCGGGTGGTCTCTCTGTTGCCCCTCGTCGCGCCAATTGCATTTTTATTTTATCTATTTATTCAATCGCCCTTTCGGCTCTGCTTAAAAGATTTTGCCTGTTTGATCGCAATCAAAGGCGCCGAAAGAGTGCACATTATTCTGTGAAATCTATTTCTTTGAGGCGCATCACAGAGAAAAGCGTTTTCTTTACCTCGCCGATTCCAACATATATAATTTATATATTTCTTTGAAAACTTTCTTATATTTTGATTCATCAGCACCTTTAAATTTTGTGCAGGTGACAATTTGACAAACAATTCATTTCAATCTGCAGTGTGGCGTATCAACACAGCAATTATTTCCACTAATAAGCGTTAAAAAAATTAGATAAATCCAGAAAATACAACAGAGTAATTATGTTAATTGGAATCTTCTTTCAATCTCTCAAATATAATATCTTTTTTTTTATTAAAATCAGAATTGCAGGCACTAAATAATAAATAAATCTTTATGCTCTAAAATAGAATTATTATGTTTGCCTATGTCTTATTTTAATATTTTTTTGTCCGGGTTAACAGTAAAACTTGATCATTTTGCTAATTAAATTGTATAATTTTGATATAAAATAAATATTTAATTAATATTGTTGAAAATGATCAAAACGAGAGTAATAAGCTTCAGGGCATTGACGCTGCTAATTAAATACATTTTCCTTTTACACCTTATTCAAACTCTAACACAAAAAACTTTCCAATGCGTTTCTGATGAGCTCAGCCGTTGCTTTCAAAGCTAAAAATCTCGTCGGGGAGAAAACAGCCGTCAGGCAATCATTTCTCTCCTACCTTATTTGCAAACAAGCTCACGCTAAAAAAAATCGTTTCGCCGCCTTTGCTGGCAAACATGATCAAAAATGAGTGGTGTGAACGCGCGCGGTGATTTGAAATTAATTATCTGATATTTATTTCCATCGCACCTTTGATCTTGTGATGAACGCGAATCATATATGAAACTTTTGTGCGAAAATATAATCAAAGGGAGTGGCAGGCGGAAAAACTCTTGGTGAGCTTGTTAAGTAATTACACACCCCCGTTCGGCAAGAGTGCAGCAGCATAAATTGTAAATATGCTCCCCCAAATTAAGTTTACCCTCTCGACTGTTGGCGGTGGCAAAAAGCGCCCGGCTCGACCGACCATTCAAATCAGAGTGATATCAAATATGCGTCTCGCGCCCTCGTTGCACTTTTGCACCCCACCAGAGGGTGAAATACGATAGCTTTTTGTGGCACGCGTAAAAGTTTCATTTGAAAATTGTCAACACAAAATAAACAATGTTTTTGTCAAGGAAAATATAAAAATTCAGTTCTGAACTGAATTTTTCTTCTTTTATATATTCTTTTTGTTCACACTGAATGCAAATTAAAATCCCCGTGTGTTGTTCGTAGCCGGCAAAAAGCTCTTCATTTCATATCCCGTAACCCCGGGACATTGAGAGGGATTTTCAGAGGAAAGGCCAGGGATTCTGCGTTGCTCTCTGCTAATATCACCCTCACGAGAAAAGGCTGCTGTCGGATGCAACACACACTACACGCCCATGCGTGAGGATTTTGAGCAGGGTTGATGAGATGACTTTCGCCTGTGGATACGGATAATCCCATTTTCAATTTAGAATTTTCGCCACGTACAAACACCTTTATGATGCGTGTCTGTGGATTTTTGTAGCCAAATTTGTTTTCAGATTATTTTCTCCTGTTCAATTTTGCAGTTTTTCTGTAAAAACTGTATGCGCCTCTAGCAAATTAATTTTTCAAAGTAGGACAAAAACAATTTTATTTTTAAATTTCTCCTTTATAAAAAAAGGCTGTACATAAATGAAATTATTTTAGAAAGCATAAAATATGCAAAAAATGTTTTTAAAGAAAAATTTGCATACTCCGGAGAGGGAAACTAAAAATGTTTCTGTCAAGAAATATATTAAATATTAAAAAAGTTCTACTGGCAACGTAATGTTTTAGGCTATTTTTTTTATAACTTGCCCCCAAAATTTGATATCATTTTCAATATTTTGAATGAAAAATTTTAATGACCTTATTGAAACCTACTCATTAACAATATAATATATTTTTTTATATAAACATGTTGCCACAATAAAGGACAAGCACGATTGCTTGAATATCTTGAAATCGAAAGCGTCGATCGCACGACAAATAAATTGCGTCGCTGGGTCTCGACGACAGCGCAGCAGGTGCCGTCGATGTCGAGTTGGGACCGAAAGTTCTCACCTCTGAGGTGAAAATGTTTGCGATCGGCTGTTTGGATTCACACCCTGGCGTTTCATAAAAAAGGTTGTGCTCATCATGCAGATCATCTGCTCAGCACGGAAACCAGACACCCTTGGGCAAACACCTCGCATCACCAACGCACTGACAAAGCATTTAATGTGCCGGCCGGGCAAGGAGCAAAGCCCACTGCAAACATCACTCGCAGTGCGGCCCAACACCCATTGTGTCATCAAAGTGACACGCACGTCCGGCGAATTTGCTCACACGCTTTTTATTATGTAACGTTTCTGCCCTCACGACATAAATGGTGGCTGCAAATAAGTAAAATTTAATTTTCGATGCCTGGGAAAATTATCAATTATTTGATATTCTTTAAAAAATAAAATAATGTTCCATGTAATTTTTTATTTGAAAAAAGAACATTGCACAAAATATTAATATTAAGATGAAATTTTCTCTGGCAAAAATTGCGTGAAAAGGAAAAAGACTGGGGGAAAAATTGAATTTTTTTTTAATTGCAAAGTGTCTTTAGTCATGTACAACTCAAATAGATCATATACATGCATTAATAAATAATCAACAGAGGAAAATTATTCAAAATAGTCAATCATTTTTGAAATCTTTTTAAAATTATATAGAAAGCATAGGCAGCAGGTTGGAGTACTTTTTGCATTTCCCATTTTTTTTTTTCAACAAAAACCAACAAATTGTCCTAATTTTTAAACGTTTTTTCGAGTTAGTCACCAAACAACTTTGATGCAAATAACTTTCCGAAATTTTGGCTCTGAAATTTAATTTGTGTAATTTCACGGATGAATCATTTAGAAATTAAATGTGTGCTATAGTTGACGATGAAGGATGATTCCATTTGGATAATCTGAATATTGTTTAGTTTTTTATAAATAGCATAGCAAAAATGTAAAACATTGTTACATAAAATGAATTAAAATTTTCTCTTGTACCAGTTTCTCGATTAAGTCGTATTTAATATTATTTTTGTAAATCCACAGTTAATAAATAATATAATCGAATTAATAAATCTCGGCGCGGACCTATCTTAAGGCCTGCGAGTTTTAGAGACTTGTTTTTCCAAAGGTTTCTTCACTTTATTCTTCATTTTCATTCTATGCATTTTTACTTCCTTTGAGAAGAATAAACATTTTTTTTAGATTGCTGAAACTAAATAGATGGTTCAATTTATAAAAATTTGTTTAAAAAAACAAATCTCAATCATCAAATAAAATAAACCCAATTAAAAATCAAGTTCATAGTTGAATTCCCGTGCTTTCGTTTTACGGTAGACTTCCTAAATTTGATAAGATTTCTTACTGACCGACAGGAAAATAAAATTTTCTCCCTTGGCGCACGAAGGTGCTTGCAACATGTTATCAACATTTTAAACGCATATGCTGGCTCCTATATTCAGTTTTCGTCGTGTTGGGGTTCACGCGGCACCTTCGTCGCCACAAGGCACACGGTATATTATTATTTTTAAACTTAACCTTTTAAATTTTTATTTGGTTTTTTCTGCAGTTCAATCATGCCAAAATGGTTTTCGAAAGTTCCCTCAAACCTCACACTGATGAAGATTCTCTTTTTCACTGCGGCTAATTTCACGTTTCTTGGCATCTTGTACGGCGTCAACAGAGGCACAATTTTAAATACGAGAGAGCGACGTGTTCTAATATCAATAGAAAATGCTACACGCGTCGACGATACTTTACCAGTGACAAAAACTGATCTTCCTTTTGAAAACTTTCAACTAAAACCGCCAAATAAAAGTGAAAAATTGATTAACGAGCAGGTGAGTCTTCGTTGTCTTTGAAATCGCTGAAATTTAAAATTTCAAAATTGCAGGTCGCAGAATCTAATCCGAACGTCATTAATTCCGAATTGAATCACATAACGCCCAAATTGAATAACACGTGCGCCTGGTACGTCCACACGTGGAACGTGAAATTCAACAACTTGTACTGGCAAGTGCAAAAAACGAAGAACGTTACGTACCTGCTTTACGGAGCCTACTACGACAACCGGCCACGTAATCTGAATGGCACCGTTTTGCGAGTCCTCGGCATGGTTGACAAAATTGACCCTCCAATTAGCCTGCATTGCCTGATGTGGTTTGTCAACGAAACCAAGCCATTCATTTCAAAGGTTATTTTTATACAATATTTACTGAATTATGCGCATTTATTGCATGTTTTGAAAAAAAATCAGATGTATGAATATCAGTACATGTGGCGGAGCGAGTGGGGCTTCTGGCAAGAGCCGCTGCAGCCGTATCTGATGAGCTGCAAAGTGCCTCCAGAACTGGGCAACCGAGTTCCAGAATCAGTCACCGTCGTCGAAGACATTTGCCCAACAGGCACCAATAACCTCAGGGTTATTTACAACACTCCGCCCTCGGGTCGGAAAAAAGATTTCGCAGTCTGCGTGAAAGGATTAAATTTCTATAACTGGCCCGATATTGCCGTCCGACTGGTGGAGTGGCTTGAACTGCTCAGAATTCTCGGAGTGGAAAAAGTCATCATTTACCAACTCACAGTATAAATATGTTTTTATTAAAAAATAGCTTAATTGTAAAAAAAAAAAATAACAGGTGGACCCAAAAATAGAGACGGTTTTGAAGTATTACGAAAAGTTAAATAATTCGAAGTTCGAAGTTGATGTTGAGCACACAACTCTGCCTGGAGAATTTTCAAACGTGCCCAGTCTCATGGAAGAATATCTTTGGAAAAGACTCCCAATTCAACTTTTTCAAGAAATGATTCAGTACGATGACTGCTTTTACAAAAACTTTCACCAATTTAAATTCATCTCCTTACTGGATATAGATGAGGTTTGTAAAAAGTTTTTAATGGAGATAAAATTGAAGCAAATATTATATTTTAAATGTTTTTGTCTGATTAAATTAAGATTTCCATTAAAATTTTACAAGCTATATGTTCCGCAATTAAATATGAGTTTTGTATTTTTGATATTTTTGTCATATTCAAACAAATAATTATATTTAATTTACCTTTTTCTATTACAAAAATGCAACGACACTGATTGAATATCTCACGCAGGTGATTTTGCCGAAAACAGTTTCCACGTGGCAACAGTTGATGTACGGAAAAGTGATACCAATGGCCAAAAAGCAGCGAAACATCACCTGGTCGTCGTTTGTCGCAACCAACGTCCACTTCATGGACGACGCGGCCGAGTTGAATGAATGGTTCCCGCACATCCCCCAATACATGCACATGCTGCAACATGTGCGGCGGAACAAAGAGTACATTGGCATGGGTGGCGGAATCAAATGTATTCACGACACGGAACTGATTTTGTCCCTGCACAACCACTACCCGCGGGCGTGCATCGGAGACAAAACGTTTTGGTGTCCGACTTTCGAGATGGACCGGAAGGACGTCCACCTGCAGCACTACTGCTTCGGACGTGGAAAAGACGTTTGTCAAACAAAACCAGGCAAAGACATGATTATGGACACATCCATTTGGCAGTACAACAACGATTTGATTCCGGCTGTGCGCAAAGTTCTCAAGGGTGCTGGAATAATTGATAAGAATGCACCTTGATAATATTTTCTTGATTATTTATGAATAAATGCATGTTTAAAGCTGCCTTTGAATGTTAAAATTATTTTAATTATTTTCTTCTAAAAAGTAAATTTTGGAGCATGCGAGACATGTAAAATAAATTGAATTATTTATATACAAATTAAAAATGAAAGATTATATTTGTTCAATTGCAAATATTTTTAATATTCAATTTGTTGAGTGGGTTTCTGGGGTCTGGATTGTCTGGAATAATATCAAACATGAAATGTTAATGTAGAAGACTGTGTTATTATTTGCATCAACTGAAATAATTATGGTTAATTGTTATTAAAAAACTGCTTTATAATTTTAACTGATATTAAAAATTATTAAAAAAAGTAGCAAATTATAAGACGAATGGAATTTTACTTCATAATTAATATTGCTTTTAGTGATGCATTTTAAATAGTGTTATATTAATCAGAAATAATGAATCTGCTAATCTAGGCGTCCAAATTCATATTATTTTTAGGAAAATATGCCAGAAATCACACTACTTGAGAGTGAAGGATTGATATTAAAAAAATACGCCGTGTTAGAAAGGCATACAATTTACTATTTATTTATCAACACGAAGCAATGACAGACTTTACTTATGTGATACAGCGGGTGTGTATGCATATATGCATATTTCAAGTGATCGCCGTTATCACCATAACTCAGGCCATCTTGATTGGAATAATTGACACCATATTTGATAAAAAATGTGTCAAGTGCTGGGAGTTTACATATTACCTGCCTGCATAATAGAAATCCTTTCAAAAAAATAATTCACTTTTTTCAACACAGGGCGATTAAAATTGAATTGAAACATAAACTAATTTATTGCAATAAAAATGAGTGCATTTTTGCCACAGATCAGGTTTGCATTGAATGAATTGATTTAAAAAATATCAATTATTAAAGTTAATAAATAAAAAATATTTAACGCCAATAAAAATGGATTGATTAATTGAGCATTTCCGAGTGAGATTGAGGGGGCTTTGGACAAAAAAAATTACCATATCTTATTTTAACATATGTCAAAGTGGGTGTCTGGAAGGGCCTCCTCGCCAATTTTGAGACCTCAAAAAAGGGGCGTTGCCCAAAATTTTGGGGGTTGAAAAATGACCCGAGATTTTTTTGATTGTCCATAACTTTGGAACGGTTTGGGTTAGAACAATGATCTAAACTGTTCCTGACCTAACTTTTTACGCTGAACAACTTTGCCGTTGACATAAAAGTCGTAGACTTAAGGGTAATGTCACTTTTCGGAGATTTTTATATAAAAGTAAAATTTTGACGATGATAGCCCCCTCCAATTTTTTTGGTGATATAGGAAAAAATGTAGCCCATGAAATTTTACGTCGGCCCTGTAATTTTCAGAATGGCCATTTTTTCCGTTTTTGAGAAAATACAGGCTAAATAATGAAAAACGTGCTTTTCCGAGGCATATTTTTGGAAAAAAAAATTTAAAAACCTGAAAAATCAATCAAAACCACGATATATCCTAAATTTTAGTTATTTTGACTGAAAGAAACATAAATTATTTCATATTTATTAATTTTTAAGATTTTTAATTTTTTTTTCCAAAAATATGCCTCGGAAAAGCACGTTTTTCATTATTTAGCCTGTATTTTCTCAAAAACGGAAAAAATGGCCATTCTGAAAATTACAGGGCCGACGTAAAATTTCATGGGCTACATTTTTTCCTATATCACCAAAAAAATTGGAGGGGGCTATCATCGTCAAAATTTTACTTTTATATAAAAATCTCCGAAAAGTGACATTACCCTTAAGTCTACGACTTTTATGTCAACGGCAAAGTTGTTCAGCGTAAAAAGTTAGGTCAAGAACAGTTTAGATCATTGTTCTAACCCAAACCGTTCCAAAGTTATGGACAATCAAAAAAATCTCGGGTCATTTTTCAACCCCCAAAATTTTGGGCAACGCCCCTTTTTTGAGGTCTCAAAATTGGCGAGGAGGCCCCTCCAGACACCCACTTTGACATATGTTAAAATAAGATATGGTAATTTTTTTTGTCCAAAGCCCCCTCAATCTCACTTGGAAATGCTCAATTGATTTATATAAAAATTGAGGTGTATTGTGCTAAAACTTGAATATTATTTGCTCAAATATAAAAATGCATATTTAGAAGATCTTTTTGCTATCAAGAAAATTTCTCATGGACAAGATTATTACATTTTTTTTTTATCTACAACTCTTTAGGTCCAATATTGTGATAATTAATTGAGTGGCCAATCAGCAATTTTTTTGTAATATGTCTGGCGTTTGATCATACCGCTGCTAATTTTGAGATCCACCCTTTCTATTTATTTATCCATTTTCCATCTTGCTTGGACTAGGGTTAAATAAATAATCTTAATCTCCTATGATTAGTTTTTGACAGCGACCAGATCACAGATTAAATTGTTTATTTTTCAATAAGCTGGCAGTCATGCTTAGTTAGAGATGTGTCAAATTTAGAAAATGCAATGTCAGATAATAAATGACACATTTGGAAGTTGTTTCAATGTACAAGTGAACACTAATTGTAAGGGAGAAGATAATAATCGAATGGACTTGCATATTGGCTAATTCTTATCTGTGTGCGTCCAACATGATTTTTTGCCGCTGCTTAAACGTGCAGAAACGTTAAACACTTGATTACTCTGCAATACTTCATTTGTCACCATTAAAGAGAATGCACTTTGGTCAGGACGTTCCGTCTGTAATTAATCCCGCAAAATCAATTGTTAAGGTAAATCACATTTTTAGCACATTAAATCAAATTAGCTTATCCACTTTACTTGTAGATAATTCAATGAGGGGCAAGAATAATCAGCTTTTAAAGTACATATTTTTTGGCATTTCTCTTGGCGTGTTTGTGGTAGTTTTTTACATTATCAATGACACAGTAACAGTTTTCAAAATCCAAAGTGAGCGTGAATTTTCCTATGATTATGATGCGCCTGTCCTCGAAATTGACGATACAATATTTACCGAAGATCTCATAAAAAGTCGAGTATGATGAAATTTTCCAACTTAATTTTATTTAATTAAAAACACGTTGCCTAATTTTCAGTTAGAAAAAGACAATCCAAATGTAATTATAGCGCACCTGGATGGTGGCGGACCTCAGATAAATGCGACCTGCGCACATTACATCAATGCTCTCGACGTAGAATACAACAACATTTACTGGCAAACGCAGGAAACCACCGAGGAGACCTTTTATTTTTACGGCGCGTATTACGACAATCGAGCTTTAACTGGCGGTTCTGTGATAAGAATCGTCGGCATGGCTGACAAGCTCGACCCAGCCCAGGTCTATTGTCAAATTTGGTATAAAAATGAGCCACAACCGCTTATTTCCAAAGTAATTTCCATAAAATATATTATATCATGCAAAAATAATTAATTAATAAAAATAGGTATACCACATGCAATACATGTGGTATAAAGAGTGGGGCCATCGCGATGCAGCCCTGCAACCTTATATTTGGAGTTGTCGAATACCAGACGAGTTTCAGTCCAGGGTGCCAGAATCGGTTTCAGTTGTGGGCCATCCCTGTCAGAATCCGACCAACAATCTTCGGGTTGTGTTCAATTTGCCTAAATCAGGAGAGAAGGAAAATTTTGCGGTTTGCGTGAAAGGGTTGAATTTTATGCACAGTGCCCAAATGTCAGCCCGTCTGATTGAATGGATCGAGCTCTTGAAAATTCTCGGTGCAAACAAAATTATTTTCTACCAACTGGCGGTTTGACAATTTTGTCCGCAGTTTTCTAGTTGTATTTATTTGTTATTACCAGACGCATGCAAATATTTCGAAAGTTTTGGATTATTATTCAAGCACGTGGAATGTGCAAGTGGTTAAAACCACCCTACCTGGAGCCTACGCCAACATTCCGGAGATTATGGGAACGTACTTGCAGAAACACCTCCAAGTTCAAATATTTCAAGAAATGATCCAGTACAATGACTGCTTTTACCAGAATTTCCACAAGTTTAAGTATATCACCTTGTTGGACGTAGACGAGGTTTGTTAATTTCTTTCTGAAAACAAAAATCAATATGGCTTCACATTTAAATTTAATTTCGGTCGATCTTTTAACGAATTGAAATTAATCTAAAATTCTCAATGATAGCTGTGTTTTTTTATCTTAAGAAATACTACACTGCAATTGTAATTGATGGACAAAAAAATATTTGAGAGTAAAATATATTAGGGATTTAAAATTTATTTATAAATGAATATTCCATTTTTTTTTCTTTAGGTAATCCTACCTCGAAGTGTTAAAACTTGGCCCGAGCTGATCTTTAACGTTTCCCTTCCCAAAGCGATTGCCGCGCAGAACGTTAATTACGCATCTTTCATCGCGAGGAACGTCCACTTCATGGACGACCGGAAAGAGTACAATGACTGGTTCCCGGACATCCCTCGTTACATGCACATGCTGCAGCACGTCCTCCGAAACTCGGAATTCGTTCCACCTGGCGAAGGAATCAAGGCGTTCCACAACACGGACTTGATTTTGTCCCTGCACAACCACTTTGCCAGGGCTTGCATTGCTTACGACTCATTTTGGTGCGACTATTACGATTTTGACCTGAAAGATGCGCATTTGCAGCACTACTGTGTTGGTAGAAATAAAGACGAGTGCATGACAACGAGGGAGGGAAATTTGACGTTGGACACGTCAATGTGGAGGTACAAACAGGAGTTAATTGATGCTGTCAGGGAAACCTTGAGGAAGACTGGATTTTTAAAATTAATGAGTCATTAAAAAGTAATAAATTATTAAACATCAGGATATACTTTTTTCAATAAAAGAATAAATGACTCATCAAAATTATACAGGAAATGCCGTTTTTTTTTCATCTATTCATAATTGTACTTCCTTTCTAATTTAATATATATGTGGCTCGTGTATAAAATAAGCAAGAATATTTTTATTATGAGTGTTTTCAAATACCTTCATTAAATAGCATTTTAAATTAAATTGTTTGAATGCAATCGATTTAGATTAAATTTTTGTATAATTATTAAAAAAAAACATTGTTTGGCCGTTTATTATCTGGGATTGCAATTTTAAAATTTGACAAAACAGTTTATTAAAAAAAGTTAATCTCTAGCTGCAGTGAAAAATCAAACATTAATTAACCATTCACACAAGAAATCGGCAGACTGCAGGCCGCCTTATTAATTTGCCGTTTTCCTATGACTTTTTACTTTTTATTTCTTCTTTTTTTATTCTTCGCAAGATAAATTGAGAAGATTAAAATTTCTGCTTCACAATATTGAAACTATATTTAACTCAAAATATGATATTTTGTAGTTGACTTTAAAATCTAATTGTGGCACATTTGGAATCAGAGAGTATTAAGTTCTATTAACATAAGCAGTCGTTCTTATCTTAGTTTGTCCCACATAAAAAACTGTTGGCTTTACTTGACGCTGCCTAAACGTGCAGAAATGTAAAATATTGCAATGCTTTACTTACTTTCACCATTAGTGTACGTGAAGTAATTGAGACATCATTAATATCGAATTAGTAAGGAAATGTTAAAATTATTGCCAATTTTATCACCTCACGATAAGGAACTGATATGAATTGCTGCAAGATTAAATTTTTTATGGTCCTTATCTGTAACGGGCACATGCAATATGAGATGACAAATTTAGCACTAAAAGATACACCGTTGCATGCAGTCTGATGTTCAGTAAGTTTCACTTTCAGTCTCAATGATTTCACGGCATTGCAACCATAGAAACGTTTTCATCATTATAGTTTGAGCAGAAAGTTTATTTTTGGTATACAAATTTGAATTATTATAATTGGCTTAAAATGTTACTCTGATCCGATTTAAAATTTCAGGTCGCAATCATGAGAAACAGAAACCATCTTCTTTTAAGGTATATGTTTATTGGCATCACTTTTGGTGTGACTGCGATAGTTCTTTACATCATTTATGCAAGACAAGATACACAAATTGAGGTTGAGCACCACTACTTAGAGTTTGATTATCAGGATTCTTCCCTCTTGTCTAAGAATGAAGTCCTCAATCTTGATAACACCAATTTTACGGAAGAACTCATCAAAAGTCGCGTAAGATAAAATTTGAAGATTGGCAGAGATATTAATTTACATGTATATTTAGATAGAAAAAACGAATCCGAACGTGTTGATAGCGCACCTGAATGACGTTGGCCCCATGATAAACTGGACCTGCGCTCATTACGTCAATGCACTTGATATACAGTTCAACAACATTTACTGGCAAGTGCAAATAAACACGAACGAAACATATTACTTGTATGGAGCATATCTAGATAAAAGGTCGTTGGCCAAAGGCACCGTGATAAGAATAGTTGGCATGGTTGACAAACTCGACCCACCCGATGTCTATTGCCAATTTTGGTTCAACAAAGAGCCGAAACCTATTATTTCCAAAGTAATTTAAATTAGCTTAAAAAGAATAAAAAAAATTAAAATTAATTCTCAATCAAATGAACAGGTTTTCCACAAACAATATATGTGGTACAAGGAATGGGGCTACCACGATGCGGCCTTACAACCGTACATATGGAGCTGCCGGGTGCCGGAAAATTTTAAAACTCGAGTTCCGGAATCCGTATCTCTTGTTGAGAACCCATGTCAACATCCAAGAAACAACCTTCGCGTGATTAATAATCTTCCAGAGTCTGGAAAAAAGGAAAATTTTGCGGTTTGTGTGAAGCAGTTGAACTTTCAGCACAGACCTGACATAGCATTTCGTCTGGTCGAATGGATTGAGCTGCTCAAAATTCTCGGTGCAAACAAAATAATTTTCTACGAAGCGGCGGTTTGATTTTTTTTTTAATTGCACTAGCAAGCTCATATTTATTTTCATTTAATTTTCACCAGACGCATGCAAACATTTCCAAGGTTTTGGATTATTATTCCAACACGTGGAATGTAGAGGTGATCAAAACAACCCTTCCGGGACACGCGGCTAACATCCCCGATTTTATGGGAACGTATCTGCAAAAGCGACTTCAATTACAAATTTTTCAAGAGATGATTCAGTACAACGATTGCTTTTATAAAAATTTCAATAAGTTCCGATATATTATTTTAATCGACGTTGATGAGGTTAGTTTATTTTTTCTATTTTTGCTTTCTTCTCACTAACTGCAAAAAAAAAATGCCGGCATGATAAATCATAATTTTTGATTTTTTTAAAAAAAAATTATATTCGTTTCAACGTGAGAATATATATTAATTATTATTACTTAAATTTAATATACTTGCTGATATTTGCGCTTCAAATTTAATTCTGTGTTTTAGCAAATTGAAGAATTAATTCTAAATTTATATTTGAAGGTGATTCTACCCCTGAGCGTGAAAACTTGGCAAGAGTTGATTTTTAACATAACACGTCCGAAAGCTCAATTGGCCAAAAACGTGACCCACTCTTCCTTCATCGCCCGGAACGTTCACTTCATGGACGACCGGAAAGAGTACAAGGACTGGTTCCCGGACATCCCTCGTTACATGCACATGCTGCAGCACGTCCTCCGAAACTCGGAACATGTCCAGCCTGGATCCGGCATCAAAGCGTTTCACAATACAGAAGTGATTTTGTCCCTGCACAATCACTATCCTCGAGCGTGCTTAACATATGATTCGTATTGGTGCGAAAATTTTGATTTTGATCTGAAAGACGCACATTTGCAGCATTACTGTGTTGGAAGAGGAAAAGCAGAGTGTTCGACGACCCGGGAGGGAAATTTGACGTTGGACACGTCAATATGGAGGTTCAGACAGGAGCTGGTCGAAGTTGTGACGGACACTTTAAAGAAAACGGGGTTTCTAAATTAGAAATCTTGCGCTGGCTGCGTATAGTATTATTTATTGTCAATTATAAAGACTGGATGAGTCTATTTAGGAATGATGTCTGAATTTGAAAATAACTTCTCTTGTGTGAGATGTAAATTATGTAAAATTTTCTTTTAAAATTATCTTAAACTGTTATAAAACTGAGATTGAAAAATGTGCTTTTTTGACTGTGTTAATATTTATTTTACAAATCCTGTTTGGCCTCTTCATCTGAAATTATGAAGTAAAAAATGTGGTCACGTTCTATGATGGACACATGTGTATAGATCCAAGGCCGCGTCACAGGTCCAAGCCCATTGACATTTCTTTAATGAATCTGCAAGGCGCGGGAGCCCGCTAAAATATTCCACTAGTGTTTTAATGAGCGGATTCTTTCGTCTTCAATACCCGCAAAAAGCAAAGACGCAAAGAGAGGTTGCATCAAATTCGCCTATATTCCGGGGCTTCCAGCAATAATTTCAAAATTGAAATTAAGAGAGGAGCAATTTTTTTAGATATTTATTGTTCTATTAATAGCAGTGTAAAGCTTTTTTGTGGATATGTTTGAAATCCCCACAAATTTTCCTTTGTTTTCAGCACTTGAACTATATTAATTATTAAAATGAAGAAAATTTAGAAATGCTTAAATTTTTTACTTCACAGTTTCTAGAGTTCATTAAAAATGAAAGCTCATAAGACGTATTAAAATTTCTTGTAGCCTCAAAATATAGCTAAAAAGAGTTGTCGACTTTTATGAAATTTTCACAAGGAAACCAATAATTTAATAAATAATTAATGAAAAAAAAACATTTAGATCAATTTAGATTGATAATTATCATAGAATTATGAGCATCGAGCTTTTAATGTTTGATGATTAATTATCAATTCCTCCTCTTTGATAATTTGATGTATAATAATTTTTTAAATGCCACATGACAGCAAAATTCTGTTTTTATTTCACGCAGTTAATATTTGTCAAGGAGGAAGGTGCAATTTAGAAAAAAATACACATGGAAAGCGACCTGCTCGTGTGCAGCAGTTTTCGACCTTCATTATCTACCTTGCGGAAGGTCCTTGCCAGATTGTATAAAACACTTGAAATTTATAAGAGGAAAACGTGGCTGGTTACCCTTCTACTTTTTCAGTTTTATGTTATTAACACTGTCGGGAAGTTAATGGGAACCAGTTGTGGCATGTATTTGCTCTGGTCTAGAAATAATCTGGAAATTTAGGTACTATCTGGCTGAAGTTGGTGTTGGCCAGTTCAAAGAGTTATAGATTTACATGGGGAGCCCTAAAGCAACGTAGAAATCTGCAATTTCAGGACGCAATGGGAAACAACAACACTCGTCTTTTAAGATATATGTTTGCTGGCATTACTTTTGGTGTGGCCGTGGCAATACTTTACATCATTATAGGACAAATCAGGGATGATTACCACCTCAAGCTCAGCTACAAGGCTTCTCCCTCCTCGTCAGTTGAAAATGAAGTCCTCAATCTTGATAACACCAATTTTACGGAAGAACTCATCAAAAGTCGCGTAAGATAAAAGACAAATATAATATCTAACCTAAGCAGAGATTATTTTCCATTTTTAGATAGAAAAAACGAATCAGAACGTCTTAATAGCGCATTTGAATGACGTTGGCCCCATGATAAACTGGACTTGCGCTCAATATGTCAGTGCACTTAATATTCAGTTCAACAACATTTACTGGCAAGTGCAAATAAACACGAACGAAACATTTTACTTGTATGGAGCATATCTAGATAAAAGATCGTTGGCCAATGGCACCGTGATAAGAATAGTTGGCATGGTTGACAAACTCGACCCACCCGATGTCTATTGCCAATTTTGGTTCAACAAAGAGCCGAAACCTATTATTTCCAAAGTAATTACTTTATCTGTAAAAAATTTAAATTATATATTCTCAAATAAACAGGTCTTCCATAAACAATATATGTGGCTCAAAGAATGGGGCTTTCAAAATGCACCCTTACAGCCATACGTATGGAGCTGCCAGGTGCCAGAAAATTTTAAAACTCGAGTTCCGGAATCCGTATCTCTTGTTGAGAACCCATGTCAACATCCAAGAAACAACCTCCGCGTGATTAATAATCTGCCTAAGTCTGGAAAGAAGGAAAATTTTGCGGTTTGTGTGAAGCAGTTGAACTTTCAGCACAGACCTGACATAGCATTTCGTCTGGTCGAATGGATTGAGCTGCTCAAAATTCTCGGTGCAAACAAAATAATTTTCTACGAATTGACGGTTTTTAATTTTCTCTTGTTAAATTCTCTAGCACACTCATTTTCATTAAATTTTTACCAGATGCATGCAAACATTTCTAAGGTTTTGGATTATTATTCCAACACGTGGAATGTAGAAGTGATAAAAACAACTCTTCCAGGACATTACTCCAACATTCCCGATCTTATGGGAACTTATTTGTATAATCGACTGCATATACAAATTTTTCAAGAGATGATACAGTACAACGATTGCTTTTATAAAAATTTCAATAAGTTCCGATATATTGTTCTGATGGACATTGATGAGGTTTGTAAAGTTATGCCTGAAAAGGAATCAACCATAATCTTATTAATTTTTGTATTTCGCCATTATTATTCCCTAATATTTATTTCCTGCTGACTTGAGATAATGTAACGTTTTGTTTTAATACAATATTTAATGTGTTCACTGATTTTTTCGCGCTTTTTATCTCAAATAATGTTTTTGGTAGTTCGAAGAAGTGGTTCAAACTTAAAGTAAACGTATATTTCTCTAGGTGATTCTACCCCTGAGGGTCAAAACTTGGTCAGAGTTGATTTTTAACATAACGCTTCCCAAAGCTCGACGGGTGAAAAATGGGACCAATATTTCCTTCGTCGCCCGAAACGTTCACTTCATGGACGACCGGAAAGAGTACAAGGACTGGTTGCCAGGCATCCCTCGTTACATGCACATGCTGCACCACGTCCTACGAAACTCGGAACATATGCCGCCTGGATCCGGCATCAAAGTTTTCCACAATTCGGAAATCATTTTGTCCCTCCACAATCACTATCCTCGAGGGTGCTTATTAGATGGTGGACGCTGGTGCGAACATTTTGATTTCGATCTGAAAGATGCACATTTGCAGCACTACTGTGTTGGAAGAGGAAAATTTGAGTGTTCGACAAAGAGGGAGGGGAATTTGACACTGGACATGTCAATCTTGAGATATAGACAGGAGCTGGTCGAAGCTGTTAGGGACACTTTAAAGAGAACGGGGTTTCTAAACTAGAAATCTCACATTGGCTCGACAATATTAATTTATAATCTAAAGAAGGTCAGAGTCTCTTTAAGCAATTTGTTATTTGAATTGGAAAATAATAGTTGTTTCTGATGTGTAAATTTTATGTCTTGATAAATTTTAGAGTTTTAACAAGAGTCTTAAGAATATTGAAACTAAAATACAGGCATATTTAATTTGTTCTTACATGCAACAATAAATGCATGATATTTTAAAACAAACATTTAAAATGAAATAAACATTGTAAAAAATATCATTAAATTTATCCTCCATTTGAATTAAAAAAAAACTTATAAATGTGCAAAAAATTCAATAACATTAAAAACATTAATTCTATCAAACAAATTTACCAAAGTGATCATTTGGAAGTTTAAAAAAGAAATTATTGTCATATTTTTGCGTCTCTACCGTTTCTTCTCCTCGCGTCAAAATGAGCCACTCAAATATTTGCAGTGGTGATTTGCGTGAATCGCTAATCAAGTGTCATCGCGTTAAAAATAAAATCACACCTTTGTTTCCTCGGACACCTTTTTATTGCGATAGGGTGAAAAATCCAAGCTGTTTAGAAAAGCGAGAGCGGCTGCGGAATGGCGGCGGCTGTTTGTTCTGGTCGTGTTGGGTTTCAAGGCGCTAATGGCTTTATTCGTTGGTCAACAGCCGTTGCCTGCTACCGGTGTTGAGCTCGGCGCTCTCAAATTATGCAAAACAGCTCTCGACGGTTCTTCGCCGGCCGCGCGCAACACATTTTAATTTTACGGGAAGGAGAGAGACTCTTTGGTGTAAAATATTGATCTTGGTGACTGGCAATAGCGTTTAAGTAATTATTGCTCGGCATAAAGCGGATAGCGGGCAGCAAAACCGAGGGAAAATATTATAAATGTACACCTAGAGGTGTTTATTTTCGTGCTACCTGTTTAGCTCTCTGGAATGCGTCTCTTTCTCTCTTCACATGAGGCCACATTTCAAAATCTCTTCAAACACGAGGTGAAAAAACCCTGGAGAGTGTTAAGTCGGACGCTAGCTACCTTTTCGATGGTGTTTGCTCAGCAGGGCTGACCCTTTTTTCTCATCACAAGTGGCTTCGGCCTGACGATGCTTACCTGAAAATCATCCCTAATCGCTTCATCTCTTTATCCTGAATTCTGTATAATGCCTATAATTTTTATTTCTTTGTTGATTGGTCGACAGATTTTGCTAAGATTAAATTAAATCAGGCAATCAGATATAAATCTTCTTGAATCATTTTTACACTTACCTAAGTTGATGGAAAATCCTGACTACAAATAAAAATTATGCAAGATATAAATATAAATTTTATTAATTAATTAATATTAAATTTCTAAAATTTTGTTGCGCATTAACAGTTTTTTTGGCTGTTGTTATTTAAAGGTATTATTATTTTATATTATCTTATATTTTTCTTTATTATTATAGTGTTTAATACTTTTATTATTTTTTTAAATGTTTTCATAAATTAAATGTAAACAATGTGATGTAACAATTTAACAAAGAAAAATAAAATAATTTATAATAAGTTTTTACGTGGTTTTCCAGAAGCTTTGCGAGAAATACTTGGCCTTAAAGAATGCCAAAATTTCGACTTTTTATTAAGAAATTAATTTAAAGCCAGGGTTTCTCGCAAATAATAATGCTAATAATTTATTAAAGTTCAAATTTAGTGCTCATTGCTAATGAAATTCAAATACCAAACCATTTAATAATAATTCAAGCACAATTGGGAAGGCTCAATCAGCCCTGAATTTACAATTCACAATTTTTTTGCGCTTTTTCTTATCTGCTTTCCTGTATTGTGACTTAAATTTTTAAGAATTTTATGTGATGAGGAAATTCAGACTTGCTGGCTGCATTAATTAATTACCAAAAGACATTTGAACGTTGCTCAGAAGCAATTTTATTCAATGCAGAGCTAACAGCTTAAAAAATTAATTAATTCATTGTTTTATTTGCTCAAACGCCGCGCGCATTGCTTTTCTGGAATCGCGAGCGCGCGCGAGAGAAGCAATTTAACTTCTTACAACAACTTGTGTTGTTCTCGTTAAATTGTTTTTCCAGCCGGCTCTTCTACTTTGATGATTTATTTAATTTGCTCCGTCGTCGACGTTCTCCCTCGTATGATGAAATATACAGCCAGGGCAAGAAAAAGAGAAGAAAGGAGCGCACTTATAACCATACGGCTGCATAAATCAAGGCGCTAAAAGCGGCAGCACCGATGTGGATGCTGGAAATATGAATAAGAGCGTAGAGAGAAGATGAAGCCAAACAGATGGAGCGCAAAAAAGGAGAAGAAAATAATGATTCGCCGCTTGGGTTTGCTGATGCCATAAGAATAGAGGGGAGCAACTCGAATTTCCATATTTCACACAGAGCTTCAAGATGATTGCTTTCTTATTCCGCGGCGCGAGAGACGCGAATTCTCTCTTTCACCGCATGTGATTTGTTGTATGTGAACGAGTGATGCTTCCGTCGGGTTTTCCTCCATCGCATTTTGGAGAATATTCCCAATAAAAAAGTATAATATAATAAATCATATCACTCAATGAGAAGCTCCATTCCAATTTAAATAATTATCAAGAAAAACATTCATTTATATCCATGAACACTTGTGCTCATTAAATTAATGAAAATTTTTATTTGATTTCACTAATTTTAAGCTATTTTAAAATTCTTAACATTAAATTGAATTTTAATTTAGGTATAGCAAATAAAAATGTAAAAAAAGAGGTGATATTACTTAATAAATCAATTTTCATTATGATTATTTTTTAATAATGTATGGATTGTGATATTTGTAATATTAAAAAAGTTCTCAAGTGTTGGTAAAGTATGTCTGCGTCGATTTTTTTTTTTTTTTTAATTAAATTTGGAATTAAACATTCAATTTTCGTTGTTCTTCTTTGATTAGCTTAAATTAGAAAGATGATGTGATGAGCTGCTCGCGGGAGAAGCTTTCGATCAAGTCATGATTAAATTATGTCTTCAATCAAGCGCCGCGAGTTTGAACAACAAAAGAAACAAACTCTCCGGATGTAAGTAAGTAAAGTTGACTTTCGCATCTCGCGCAATTTTGCATGCTTGTTTATCTTGCGTGGAAAAACGGCCCTGGTTTTGTTTGCTTGCGCGGAAAACGTCTTTCCCGAACACGCGGATATATAAATAAATGATCACAAATCACAAATATCGCCGGCAAATACACAAAACAGGCAGCATATAAACGATTCCTCGGAGCAAAAGTGTTTCTTGAATAGCAAAACTCAGCACCCTTTAATACCAAGTATACGAGAGGCAAAAGTTTTGCGGCGGAGAAAACAAATATTACAATAGCGGCGCGGCTGCGGCGTTTGTATTGAATTATGCTCATGCGGGCTAAAGTTTGCATATAGCCGGCGGCTATTTGAGATTAGTTGATTTGTTGGAAATTGAGTCTCATAAGCTTTATTCCAATATCTATGTGTATCGAGCCGTGCCCGCCCGCCCTGCCAGTCGCTGCCAATCCAATCCGGCCCACTCACGCACCCACCCCGCCGTTATATGCATATGCGGCGCGCCGCCGACACACAGGATAATTGAAATATTAATACTGTATGAAACAAAAGCGCCCTCAGGAAAGAATTGAAGGGTCGAGCTTATATACACGTTGTGCTGCTGCGCGAAACTCGTTACGGAGCTTCTGCAAAAACCGACGGGATTATTTTGATGCAATTTTTTTTTGCGCGCAGAAAGGGAAAAAAACACCAACTGTCAGAGTAGATTAAAATTTTGTTGTTTTCTGATTACCAATTTTCAGCGGGTTGCGGGCGAAACTCGATTTTTACGTATATATTTACGACGAGATCAACAGGCAGAGGAAATTGTTTTTCGATAACGTTACGTGGAAAATATTAATTTGTTTTTCACCTTTTTGACCCTCTCACTTGATTTGCGCTTTTTCGAATTACAAGATTAATAGTGAACCTGTATTTATGATTTTTTCTTTCATATAGAATCCCTGTAAAAGCAAAATTTTGTACACCATACAAAAAGTAAACTATTAATGAGGACAACAATAAAAAAAGTGTGAAGACTTGCATTTTTTTTTTAAATTTTTTATAATGAGGAATTATTATAAATGTACAAAAAATTGCTGAATTGTTGATTTTTCCAAAATAAAAATAAAAATTTATTCCTTAAATTCTCAATAAATAAAAAAATCACGGAATTAATAGCTCAGAAATAAATTTAAACGTGTTATTGTTTTTACCCAGTCTTTTCTTGCTAGTGATGGTGCCGATTTGTCCAACAATTCCTTTCTTTTCAAATAAATGGTTTCAATAATTAAATGTAAACAATGTGATGTATCAATTTGGACAGATAAACAAAAATAATTATTTTGCAGAGCGATTTAATTTTTATTTTTCAATAGAAATTTAATTACAATTATTTTTATAAGAATTGGTTAAATTATTTTCGATGGATTTGAGTCTTGAACTTAATTATTATTATAAAATTGTAGTGAAGTCACTGGGGCGCGCAAACTGAATTCAAATTAACAAAACGCGTGCTTCTCCCAAATATTGCTTTGATTAACAGTTTTATCACAATTCTGTTTAAATCCCAAGCGTCACCGCGGCTTTGGACGTAATTCGATTTTATCTGCTGCGAAGGATTGTGATAATAAACCGAGGCCACCGTCGGTCGGTCTTTGCAACATTCACGTCTCCGTGCCGCCAGTACACATATTAGCAGCATTAATTCAGCGCGGTGATTACAACGGCGACGTGCAATTACGGAACACATGATATCCGAGCACACACACAAGAGGCCGTAATCTCATTTACATTGCGAGCAAACAGAACTGATGAAACAGTTAATTGATAATAAATAATAATAGTATGCGGGCTGGCATAATGTGCCTCCAACTCGCTTTCCGCGCCAGTTTTAGCAAAACACGTCGATCCGCCGCGAGTCCATGCTTCGCCGAACGACAGCTATTATTTGCATTACGCAGCTTATCATTTGCAAACTCGCAAAGCCGCAGGACAATTTGAACCAAACGGTGGAAATTTGTTCCCATTCGTTTATAAACAGGGTGGGAAAGTTAATTAATTTGATTTGATGAAAACGATTCGGCCACTAGGGTTGTGCTCTCCGGCTGTTGTTTTGATCTCTAATAGTTAATGAATTGCGCGCAACAATTAATACATTCAATTGTTTTTAAAGCAAATATTAATATTATTTTAATTCACATACTGTTCACAAAATTAAGTTCCCTGCAAAAAAAAAAATAAAATAGTACCACGCACACGGACTAGTAATGTTTTCAATAGAAATTATACTTGATTAAATATCAGATGTTACGGACATAATTTTTTTTACGCTATTGAATGTTTTCAAGTCGAACCTTCACGGAATTAATGAACCAAATTAGGCGACCTGCTTTACTTGTGTACACAGCACGTTGCATAAGTTTTCATTTATCAGGAAAATTGTTTGCTTTCATTGTAAAATTTCTTTGTCTCATTTTATCTTGAATGCGCCAGAGATTTAAGTAAATAATTAAAATTTAAATTGTAGAAAAAAATGGCAAATAATAAACTTGAATTCATTTTTTTATGTGTGAGTGAGAGTGTTTTTAGTGCATCTTTTTACTATATCAAATGTAAAAGAATGAAGATGAATGGACATAATTTCATTAACGATTGTAAAAATATATTGGAAATTTAACTTAAAATTTTAATTGTATAATAAATAAAATATTTTTTTAATATACTCAAATTTTCCATTGAATTGAATACATATTTTTCCATCATTTCTCCATATTATTTTTAACACTTACATTTTTAATGATCAATAAGATGGTGTCAGGCCTGTCGCTCTCTATCAAAGTGGTGATCAACGGTACGGAGGGTTCAATTCGAGGAGGAATAAAGTTGTTTGCCCGATAACAATCAAATTCGGCAAATTGCGACGACCCACAAGTGAAATCATTTCATCTGCGGCCGCGTGTGCCTCCATTATTTAATCCCGGCTGTGACCCGCTGAGATTGTGTTTGCAGCTGAACGAAGCCCCACAAGCTGGGCGCAGAGAGCGCGGACCACGTCGTTGGCAGCTTTGAACGCCGGACTGGCGACGTTTTGTTCAATTGAAGAGGGAGAGCGAGACACGCATCAACAGTCTCATTACGCACAATAATTATCAAAACGGCAGTGCAGCACTGCAAATAGAGACGATCAAGTGCGCTCAGTGTGAGTCCACGCACTTTTAATTATAAATGACTGGCTAGGGGGATTTCTTCTACCCCGCATAAAAAGACTTCTTTGATCTATTTTTAAGTTCACCATTCCTCAACTAACAAGCTACAAATTACAAAATTTATTAAGAATTACTTTTTGTTCAAGAAGGATTTAAAAAAATGCTACTCGTGTATTGAAGACGCATTTTAATATTTTTACAGCTATCAACGCTTAAATGCTGTAGTAATTTCCCTTTCCTTATTCTTATTTATTCAGATTTCAATTTTTTAATATTTAAAAATTAAAAGCTTTTGCATGCAAAATGGAATCTGCGGTTGGAACAGATTTTTTTCGGAGGATTTGAAAAATATATTAAATACAGTATATTGTTTTGTTATTTTACTGTTTCTAAAATTTATTTTTGACGCTAAAACTCAGATACACAGTGTGGATTAGTTTACAGACACTGAACACAGACAGGAGTAAATTTTAATTTATTTTTAACTTTCAACGTTCATCTTAAGTTTGAATTGTGTGATATCTTTAAACATCCATTCAATAAATTAAAACATTATTTGGGTTCGTCTCATTTTGACCCATGCGATAAAATGGAATGTACATCAAAACAAATATTTACATTTTAATAAATATATTTTAAAATTTAATTAAACCAATGTAAAAACTAATTCAACACACATATATACCCACAAAGAAAGCTAAATGATTAGTATCACATTTATTATTATATTTTACAATATTCTCAGGAGAACGTGGGAAATTCATAGAATTTTGAAAACCATTAGAATTTTTTAGGGGGAATGGCGAAACCTTTAAAAATTTCTAACAATTAATTGTAAACATGTTTCGCCTGATAAATTATTTTTTATGCAACCTCTACGTCGGAGGACTCGTCGCTAAAGTGTTCTGGCCTGAGCAGATGAGAGGCCACGCTGAGCCGACTAGAGGCCACCTCGCGGGCCGCCTCAGACGGGCCGTCCTGACCTGGCAACCGCTGCTCTTCGTGGATTTTGCGGATTCGCTCTTGCTCCTCGCGCTTCTGCTTGCGCCACTTGGCCCGTCGATTTTTGAACCACACCTGAAACCAAACAAAAATATACAAAATGAACAAATTTTTATAATTCAGTGTAACAAAAATAATAATAAAATAATATTTCAACTTAAAATTTCTTATAAAAAAAAATCAATTGTGTGTATAAATTATTTAACTTGTAAAATAAAATTGTTCGATAAAATTGATCATCTTAATATTTCAGCAACATTTTATTGATTTGCTTTGGAGACTTTAATTTTTGCAACAGAACATATTTAATTGTGAGCAGCCGTCGAGTGGAGAGGTGTATACATTCCAAAAAGTCTGTAGAAAAGGGATGCTGCTCATTCTTGCGGGGTGCGTTCACCCCACCGTTTGCGCGAGAGAGCAGCCGCGCTTTAATTTCTCACCCCCTTGAGTGTTTACACGCTCGGCATGAGCGGCTGAATGGAACGCCATATTTGCACTGGTGGCGGCGGATGCGTCCGCACAATACACAACATTTTGGTTGGGTGCTGCCGCCGTTTGGGTGGTCTAACCACTAAATCACCCCCCGAACAATACCTCCCAGGGTCTCACTCAGGTTATTTCGCGGAGCAAGAACTATCTCTGCCGATGACAGCAAAGTTGTCTGTGGCAACGGCCACTTGACTTTTTGCGCCTAAATAAGCACTCGGAAATAACGCGCAAGCCTCTCTTGAATGAGCTAATTTTGTTTACTATGGATTCGGAGGGCGCAAAATTGCATCTAGGACGTTGACTTCAACGGTCTAGTGGAAATGCGAAGCTTTACTGAAAGATAAATTATTGTTTTAATAAGAATAATAAGCGATAATAAGTAACAGGGAAAAAATTTCCTTATGAATTCCTGAAGAGTAACCAAATTAACATGAATTTGTTACTTTACATAAACAATATTTATATAATTTATAAAAAAAAATGAATGGTTTTTTAATGACATAATGTATTGTAATTTTTTTTAATTAATTTTTAATTGATAAAAGAGGATAAAAATAATAATAAAAATTGTATGTATAACAAAATAGTTATAATTAGAATAAATAAGGATTTAAAATAAAATCATAAATATTTACGACGTAATATTTAGTAAATTAAATCATTAAATTTGTTATGGTTTCTATAAATTTAAATGGTTTAATCTGCGTTGCTGGCGAATTTGCCTCCAAAATTCGAATTATAGCAAAGGCCAACAAGCCGAGCCGCCGTGCAAAATCCAATTTTCCGCGGCAGCCATCGACCCAACGAGATTTACATTTTTTTTCCGGCCAAATGTTCACACAGCTGGGAATTAGAGCCGAGCGAATCCCAACGCACTGCACGCTGCAGAGCAAAACGAAAACACACGACGCCGTGTTATTGCTGGCTGCCGAGCACATGAAGTAATTAAAGGTTAGTTGAATTTTTGATCCACTCTTCGGCAACAATGAGCGTGTTTTCTGACCAAACAAAATTACGTGTACTCCAACCCCCTCACCGAGCGCGTAATAGAATAATCTGGTGCGCTGCGGGAGCAAAAAGCACGCGCGTTTCCTCTCTTACTGCTCCGCACCCTCTCTCCGGCCAAAAGCAAACATTCCAATTATTTCGGGACACTGATTGTGTTATTTTTTATTAATGATGTGGATTCAAGTCCGCAGCCGAGACGAAATTAAAGAGGAAATAAAAGGTTGCGCAGTTTAGAACAAAGCTGCTTAAATTTGGGTGCGTTTCGGAACAATCCCGTTAATCCACCCGAGGCCCCAACCGAGAGTGCAGAAATCTGCTGGGGCGTGTTTGATTTGGGAGGAAAGTTACATTCGAGTTCGGACCAGTATATAATCAGTTGTGTCAGCACAAGCGAGTGTCTTTATTTCCTTCCTTCTCGGCGGTAAAAAAAACTCGCAACCCGGCCGGCGAAAGTCTGTAGAGAAGAAAATTGTTTTAGTCTCAAAGTAAACCTCATCACGGCGGAAATAAAATAAAACGTCGGCGGGGTCTGGCGCTAAAACAGTGCCAGCAAATTAAATAAAGAATAATAAAAAGCGGCTCGTTTTTCCAACAATGGCTCTGCTTGTTTTAAACACTCTGCGCGCTGTGCTCTTCTGCAGAGAGCCGTTGTTTAATAATGACGGGGCGTAAGTTCACAGTAGAATAATTACATGAATTAAGAGGGTGAAAGAGCTGCCGGGTTAATTAGGTCAGCGAGCGACGGGGTGATATTTTATTTACCACCTCATCTCTCTCGCCACACAGCATTTAATGTCTGCAATGCTTGTGGTGTGCAATATTCTGTCTCGCCAAAAGATAAAGCTTCGGAATTCATTTATTTAAATTGGTAATTTTTTTTAAATAAATTACTGGTAAAATTTATTATGAATATATTATAGAGTGCGCACTGTTATCATTTGAGATTTCAAAATTTTTAGTTGCAAATAATATATTTATTGATATTTCACAGAGGCCCAAGATACATCGATCATATACAACATTTTTTTCTCATTAAGAGAGAAAAGTTAGAAAATATCAACCATTTCAATAACAATAAAATTTTGAAAATTTAAAGACTATTAAATGCAAGTGCAACATTTAAAAAGGAGGTTTTGCTGAAGGCTTGAGGACTGCCAGATACTTTGAAATGTCGCTTTTTATTTTTAGTTTTTGCTATTATTTATGTTAATTTAAAAAGAAAAGTGCAAATATTAAAATAAACTTGGAAATAATTTTTACTTAAATCAAGGCTTCTTGTCAAATTTTACGATTGAAACTATCCAACTAGCATTAATTATCAGTTAATGATACCTTTTAAGCAAATTTTTGTGATTTTGTTTTTTCTATATTATCGTTTATTTGATAAAATTATAATTAGTTCCTCTCTTTAATAAAATTGTTAAAATTGTTAAAAAGGTGTTGAATGATAACTTATTTTACGATCGGTTCGAGTTTTTCGGACATAATTTTAATTAGCATGTAATGACTTGACGTGTTCTACGGGCAACATTAACATGTTTTGGAGGTATTTTTGTGCTTGTTGATGGCTGTAAATTTGTGCTCAAATGAATAAAACAATTATCTAATCTAATCTAATATAGCTGAATTTTACAAATTAATTATGAATAAATTTTTGGATTAGAAAATTATCTAATTCTGCGTTATTGACAGAAACGTTTCAAAGAAAATGTATGAATTTGAATTATTTATTGGTACATATAATATCATCAATTTCCATTTATTCTATAATTTTCAAATTTGATCAATATCATTATTTCAGAATTAGATTTAAATGAATTTAGTAACTAATAACGTTATTAATGGTTTGATATTTATTATTCCAAATCTAAATGATGATTATCGGATGTGCGGCAATCCACAAATGCGTCAGCGAAACCAGAATTTAATTCCAGTGCCACCGGATCGAGCTCTCTGAATTATTTTATCATATCACATTATACCCCTGTTAAAATGTGTGCACACAAAAACGAACACTGCGCCATATTTGTATTGGCGAAATATTAATAATAAGGCCTGTGTGTTTGCGCAAAATAATACGGTGAGCGAGCTGCTTTTGAAACTTGTACGGTAATGGATGGGAATCAATTGAAGCCCCGCTCATGCACGCCGCATAATATTACATACACGTACGTTTCCCACTCAACAGTTAGATCACAGAATTGAAAAAAAAGCTCAATAAAACGTCCCCCCGTCGACATTTGAATACCAGATTGGCGCGGGAACTGAAAAATGAATAAAACCAAAGGTTTTGCTTAATTTATCTCGGCATGTTTGCTTTAAATCTGTTTAACGTGAGTCTATTATCAGCCCTTTTTGTTGGCACTTTTGTGTTGCAAAAAGCAGCACATATGGTTTTGTATTTGCCTCGGCGGAATTTTTGCTCTTTGCGCGCGGCGGCCGACGAATCATTATTTTTCAATAATAGAAGCGAAACAAAGCGAGGGTGGAAACAATGGCGAATTTTTTAATCATCCCTCGAATGTGCACGAGGTGGAAATTTTTTGATACGCATACGCGAATTTAACAAAAGAGCATTACCGCTCGCCGCGCATTATTTGCAAACAAGCTTTTTGTGCGTGCTGAATTTTTTCTGACGCGACATGAATTTTTAAAAATCGCGCCGCTTTCAATTTGACTTCTTTTCATATCGTGCACCAAAAAAAAAAAATTAATAATTTAATTATGACAAAAACGTTCAATCGCGCAAAGTATATAAAATGAATAAAGCAACTTTTTCCTTTCCCGCTGATAGAGCGTTTTGCAATTCAGATTTTAAAAATCGTTTTTTGTTTCGATTTCGTTCCACGCGCATACATCGCTAATTGAAAATAAATTGAGTGCGAAATGTAGCTGTTTTCCAATGTTAATTAATATTTATCTTTCAGCCCGGCCAGAATTAATTAACCAAATTGGCGAGTTTTTAAAAACGACACGCATCGGCAAGAAAAGTTTGGCAAAAGTTATTACTTTTTCCTCAGCTAATATACGAAGCGGGCGAAAAGTTAATGAATTTTTCCGCACGCATCATTTGACGTGCAAAGGCAAACCAATTATTAATTTGACTACACTGCACCACACTCGCGCAATAAAATTTCGCTGTAAATATACTTCGGGGATGGGTGATTTTAATTGCAAATTTAATGATCATCACCGGGGTATAATAAGTTTTTGTTTATGTTTGTATGATTAATTAAAGCCAGCGCAGCTATTATGAAAATGCCGCGCTCGCAATGTGTGCTTTTTTAATGGCGAAATGACGAGAGAGAGAGAGAAATGTGTTTTCGTTTTATTATTACGCGACGCAGCACTCACTCGTCAATGTGTTTTGATTTTATACAAACCAGCCTATGCACGGCGGCGGTCAGTTTGCAATTTCCGTATCATTTCGTTAATTAGCTTTGCACTAATTACACGCTCTGAATGACCCGCTTTGTTAGCAAATATTTTTCTTTTTATGACAAAATAGTCACCTATTGTGATTTTGCCATAGAGTATTGAGATTTATTGAACCGTTGGTAATTTAAAAACCGTGAAAA